GTGGGAGTGAGAGTGAGAGTGAGAGTGAGAGTGAGAGTGTCAGTGAGTGAGTGAGTGAGTGAGTGAGTGAGTGAGTGAGAGTGTGAGAGTGAGAGTGAGAGTGAGAGTGAGTGTGAGTGTGAGAGTGAGTGTGAGTGTGAGTGTGCGTGTGCGTGTGAGTGTGAGTGTGAGTGTGAGTGTGAGTGTGAGTGAGGAAGTGAGTGAGTAAGTGAGTGAGTGAGTGAGTGAGTGAGTGAGTGAGTGCGTGGTGAGTGAGTCAGTGGGAGTGTGTGAGTGTGTGTGTGTGTGAGTGAGTGAGTGAGTGAGTGGGTGAGTGAGTGAGTGTGAGTGAGTGAGTGAGTGAGTGAGTGAGTGAGTGAGTGAGTGAGAGTGAGTGTGTGTGTGTGTGTGAGTGTGTGTGTGTGAGTGATGTGTGTGAGTGTGAGTGATGTGAGTGTGAGTGAGAGTGAGTGAGAGTGAGTGAGTGGTGAGTGAGTGGTGAAGGAGAGGAGGACGGGAGGAAGGAGGAGGAGGAGGAGCGAGCGGATACAGAACTAAAAACAAAAGCCCCACATGTCAATGCGGGTAGTTTTAAAAAACGGGATTATTTAAGTATATGAACAGCTAGATTGCGAGCTTGCAGATGCAACTGGTCTTTGCGACGCTTCGTCCAGCGTCTCAGCTTTTCGTTTTTTTCGTCGTTGGTGCAGGTTGTGACTACCAAGTGTGGACCATGGACCACTGCATCCGTTCCTGCCTGGATGCATTGGCACACTCATATTGAAGGACTGAAGGCCACGTCTGCAGCAGTTTGTGCAATTTGTCACATCCTGAGATGGCGACCTGCGAGCAAACTGATGCAGGCGGATGCGTGGAGCAGAAATTACTGAGCAGTGATGGGAGTCATGGAAAATTCAGAGCTGCAAAGAGCAGGGTGGATGGAGGTGATTTTTTGATAGTTTTTTGCAAACAATGATCGACATTATTGGTGAGCTGTTTTCTTTGTGCTCTGTTTCCGCCACGCGACAAGCATGCAACTGGCTGAAGTGATTTCGGTTTCAAGTTCCCTAGCTAGCTCGCAGCTTGCCCCAAGCTTGCCCCAAGCTGAACCCTATCCATGGTCATGTTCAAGCTTCTTGCAATCACATGGGCCGCTTCCACTTCAGGCGTTGACTGCCAAGGTGATGATTGCGATGCTTCGTCCTTTGCCCAACTTCAAGTCAAGCGGGCAGGGATTCCCATCCGGTCGACGGAGCAAACCGATCAGAAGCAAACCACCAAGGTGCAAGCGGCAGCTTGCGCCAACTGGCCTGAGTGTGGGCAGGAAAACTCCTGCAACGGATGCAAGAAGACGGTTGATACCAAGGGTACCCATGCTAAGTATCTGGATTGCGGCCCGAACTCATGTTCGAACTCTGCTTTTGAGTTGGCCGGTGCTTCCAGCGTTGGGCCAATGGTGATGTGTTTTAAAGGTAATTCTTGTCACGACTCCACCTTTACGGGGTTGACCCACATGAGTTGTGACAGTCTCGACTTCAATTCCGTTTCCGTATGCAAGGACAGTTCACTGGCATTCTTCTCCACTGAGTTCAAGGCGCCTCTCAGCCTTTATTGCGGCCATAATGGCTGCGAGGGTGTGTCTGTGACCGCCAGCAATAACTTGCGCCTTACCGTTACCATCGACCATGAGTCGGGCAGCCCGCCGAAGAGCATCAAGATGTCAGAAGGCTGTTTGGTGCTGAAGTGCAACAAGGAGGACTGCATGCTCAGCCGCCAAATACTCCAGATTGACTTGCAGCTGGGAAGCAAGGCGAGCTGCATGGCAGTGAACTATGGGGACAAACTGCCCGCGGCTTGTCAAGACAAGAAGGCCCTCTCTTGTGGGACAGACCTCGCGGCATGAGATCTTTACCCAAGAGGCAAGAGCTCCCAAGCATTCGATCATATTATATTCGATCTCTTTTTGATCTTTGTTGCTTTCGGGCTCTGCGCGCTGCCTGCATGTCTTGATATCTCCCTACCCGAAGACTGTATAGCACGCCATGATATGCGGTAAACTTTCCAGCAACAGCACTGTGACCAATGAGTAGCAGTGTGGAGAGCTAAAAAATTGTGAGCAGGAATGCGCTATTTGTGTTGGATGTTTTGCTGCCTGGGAAAGTGGACTGCTGGGTATGCTGTTGCAACTTGATCGCCATTGCCTTGCTGAAGATGCATGTGATTGAGTTGTGCCTTGCTCCGGTATCCGCTACTTGTATCGCTGGTTGCCCAAACGCTTTTGGATGGCTTGCATTCGTCCCGTTTCTCCTGAATCAATTTAAGGGCTGACGCCCTTCGTCGGCTCCGCCGGATTTCTCGACCCTCCATTTCATCGCAGTGTGGGCTTGAAAGCTTTTGGATGGGGACCTGCTTCAGACATATATTCCTTATGTTTTTTGAAAAAAGTTCATGGAATAGGAACTTTGTTGGAAATAGACGGCTTTTTTGGGGAGCAAGTGAGTTCCCGAAAGCTCCTGCCAAGGGTTTTTCCCGAGGAACTGCTGCCAATTTCAACTTGTTACTTCGTGTAAAGGCGCCTCTGTGCAAAGACTTCTCTGTGTAAAAGCTTTTGTGTGTAAAAGTTTCTGTGTGTAAAAACCACTTTGTGTAAAGACTTCTTTGTGTAAAAGCTTCTGTGTGTGAAAGCTTCTCTGTGTGTAAAAGCTTCCGTGTGTAAAAACTCTCTGTGTAAAAGCTTCCGTGTGTAAAAACTCTCTGTCTAAAGTGTAAAGGCTTCTCTGTGTAGAAGCTTCTGTGTGTAAACGCGTCTGTGTGTGAAAGCTATATATCTGTGTAAAGACTTCTTTGTGTAACAGCTTCTGTGTGTAAAGGCTCCTAGACTCTAGACGTTTGTGTGCAAAAGCTCCTTAGAGAAAAGACTTCTCTGTGTAAAACCTTCTGTGTGTAAAACTTCTCTGTGTAAAAGCCCCTGTGTGTGTAAATGCTTTTGTGTGTAAAAGCTCATCTGTGTAAAGGCGTCTCTGTGTAAAAGCTTCTGTGTGCAAACGCGTCTGTGTGTAAAAACTCTCTCTGTCAGGCCTTCTTCGTGTAAAAAGTTCTGTGTGAAAAAGCTCCTAGACGTTTGTGTGCAAAAGCTCCTTGGAGTAAAGACTTCTCTGTGTAAAACCTTCTGTGTGTAAAAAGCTGCTTTGTGTAAGGACTTCTCTGTGTAAAAGCCCCTGTGTGTGTAAAAGCTTGCTGTGTGTAAATGCTTTTGTGTGTAAAAGCTCCTCTGTGTGAAGGCTTCTCTGTGTAAAAGCTTCTGTGTGCAAACGCGTCTGTGTGTAAAAAGCCATCTGTGTAAAGACTTCTTTGTGTAACAGCTTCTGTGTGTACTGTGTAAAGGCTCCTAGACGTTTGTGTGCAAAAGCTCCTTAGAGTAAAGACTTCTCTGTGTAAAACCTTCTGTGTGTAAAAAGCTCCTTTGTGTAAAGACTTCTCTGTGTAAAAGCCCCTGTGTGTGTGTGTAAAAGCTTGCTGTGTGCAAATGCTTTTGTGTGTAAAAGCTCCTCTGTGTAAAGGCTTCTCTGTGTAAAAGCTTCTATGTGCAAACGCGTCTGTGTGTAAAAACTCTCTCTGTCAGGCCTTCTTCGTGTAAAAGTTCTGTGTGAAAAAGCCCCTAGACGTTTGTGTGCGAAAGCTCCTTAGAGTAAAGACTTCTCTGTGTAAAACCTTCTGTGTGTAAAAAGCTCCTTTGTGTAAGGACTTCTCTGTGTAAAAGCCCCTGTGTGTAAATGCTTTTGTGTGTAAAAGCTCCTCTGTGTAAAGGCTTCTCTGTGTAAAAGCTTCTGTGTGCAAACGCGTCTGTGTGTAAAAACTCTCTCTGTCAGGCCTTCTTCGTGTAAAAAGTTCTGTGTGAAAAAGCTCCTAGACGTTTGTGTGCAAAAGCTCCTTGGAGTAAAGACTTCTCTGTGTAAAACCTGCTGTGTGTAAAAAGCTCCTTTGTGTAAGGAATTCTCTGTGTAAAAGCCCCTGTCTGTGTAAAAGCTTGCTGTGTGTAAATGCTTTTGTGTGTAAAAGCTCCTCTGTGTGAAGGCTTCTCTGTGTAAAAGCTTCTGTCTGCAAACACGTCTGTGTGTAAAAAGCCCTCTGTGTAAAGACTTCTTTGTGTAACAGCTTCTGTGTGTAAAGGCTCCTAGGCGTTTGTGTGCAAAAGCTCCTTGGAGTAAAGACTTCTCTGTGTAAAACCTTCTGTGTGTAAAAAGCTCCTTTGTGTCAAGACTTCTCTGTGTAAAAGCCCCTGTGTGTGTAAAAGCTTGCTGTGTGCAAATGCTTTTGTGTGTAAAAGCTCCTCTGTGTAAAGGCTTCTCTGTGTAAAAGCTTCTATGTGCAAACGAGTTTGTGTGTAAAAAGCCCTCTCTGTAAAGACTTCTTTGTGTAACAGCTTCTGTGTGTAAAGGCTCCTAGGCGTTTGTGTGCAAAAGCTCCTTAGAGTAAAGCCTTCTCTGTGTAAAACATTCTGTGTGTAAAAAGCTCCTTTGTGTAAAGACTTCTCTGTAAAAGCCCCTGTGTGTGTAAAATTGTGTAAAAGCTTGCTGTGTGCAAATGCTTTTGTGTGTAAAAGCTCCTCTGTGTAAAGGCTTCTCTGTGTGAAAGCTTCTGTGTGCAAACGCGTCTGTGTGTAAAAGCCCTCTGTGTAAAGATTTCTTTGTGTAACAGCTTCTGTGTGTAAAGGCTCCTAGACGTTTGTGTGCAAAAGGTCCTTAGAGTAAAGTTGTAAAGACTTCTCTGTGTAAAACCTTCTGTGTGTAAAAAGCTCCTTTGTGTAAAGACTTCTCTGTGTAAAAGCCCCTGTATGTGTAAAAGCTTCTGTGCGACTCCTCCATCCAGCTTTCTTTCGGGTCACGCTGTCGTCCAGTTTCAATCTGCAACATTGTTTCTTGCGGAAGAATGCAAAGAACATGTGAAAGCATCGCGCGGTTAAAACTTGAACAGAAACAGCGCCCAAAGTGCTGTAATTTACAGCATTTTGCGCTGTCAGATGGCAAGAACCCGCGTAAATACCACAGTTTTAGTCCCTGAAAGTGGCTAAAACACTGTTATTTACAGGGTTTCGTTCACGTCACGATCTTCGATTTTTTGAAAAACGTGTAAATACCAGCGTTTTTTGCGCTCATCGAGGCCAAAAATCGGTTCAAAAAGGGAAGAAAATGATGTAATTTACAGGGGTTTGGCGCCGCCACGGGCAATAAACTGCGTAAATACCAGCGTTTCGGCGTCCAAAAGTGGCCAAAACACCGCTATTTACAGTGTTTCGTGCCTTCCACGTTTTCTTGAAATTGCAAAAACACTGTAAATACCATCATTTTCTGCGATCAACCCGCCAAAAATGCTGTAATTTACAGTGTTTTTTGGCTTGACTTTCAAAAACATTGGTATCTGCAGTGTTTCGTACATCGCTGGTCCAAAAAGTATTGGTATTTACAGCATTTTCTGCGTTTTTGCATGGCTCCTGCAACAGACGTCAAAACGCTTACAGCATTTTGTGACTTTCGAAAAGCTAAAAATCGTCCGAAAAATGTGTCAAAACGGCGCTTTTTTCCGATTTTAGGTACCCTCAAAACGGGGGGGGGAGGGAGAATGCTCTTGGAGACGCTTATGAGCGACCCGGATTCCGTCCAAAAAGCTCTCCCCCACCCTCCTGAAGGATTTTTGGTGTTTTTCGGGGTCCGGGTTCGGAGGTTCGGCGGCTTGCGGCGCGCCCACCATAGAGCTCTAGTCGCTCTGGGACGCTCGTGACGCATTTGTCAGCGTACTCGTGTGGAGCCGGCGGAGCCGAATTTGCTTCCGCGTGTCTCCCAATTGTAGAGCTTCGCACACCGGCGACGCCGGTAGGGGTCAGGGGAGGGAAAGAGAGAGGGGGATGTCATCATCTGAACTTGCGGACATGACATGCTGAGGGTCGGCGGCCTATCTTGGGGCTATGTTGGCCCAGCTTGGGGCTATGTTGGCCCATCTTGAGGCTATGTTGGACTATGCGCACAAAGTGTTATAATTTACAGCATTTTGCGCTGCGTTTCGGCGTCCAAAAATGGCCGATACACCGCTATTTACAGTGTTTCGTGCCTTCCACGTTTTCTTGACATTGCAAAAACATTGTAAATACCAGCATTTTTTGCGATCAACCCGCCAAAAATGTTGTAATTTACAGTATTTTTTTGCTTGGCTGTCCAAAAATTTACAAAGAGGCGTTCACATCACGATCTTCGATTTTTCGAAAAACGTGTAAATACCAGCGTTTTTTTTGCGTTCATCAAGACAAAAAATTGGTTCAAAAAGTGCAAAAAATACTGTAATTTACAAGGGGGTGGCCCCGTCAGAAGCAAAAAACTGCGTAAATACCAGCGTTTTGACGTCCAAAAATGGCCAAAACATGGCCTAAACACCGCTATTTACAGTGTTTCGCGCCTTCCACGTTTTCTTGAAATTGCAAAAACATTGTAAATACCAGATTTGTTGCGATCAACCCGCCAAAAATGCTGTAATTTACAGTATTTTTTTGCTTGGCTTTCAAAAACACTGGTATTTGCAGTGTTTTGTGCATCTCGGGTCCAAAAAGTATAGGTATGTACAGCATTTTCTGCGTGTTTGCATGGCTCCCGCCGACGACGTTAAAACGCAACAATGTTGTAATTTACAGCATTTTGTGACTTTCGAAAAGCGAAAAATCGTCCGAAAAATGTGTCAAAACGGCACTTTTTTCCGATTTTCGGACCTTCGAAACGCATCTACAAAAATCTTCAAAATTTCACCCTCCTTTTGCCCACCCCAGACCCCCAAAAACGTGAAAACCCCACCAGGCTGAAGGATTTTTGGGGAGGGTCGGCGGCAGGGGCGCGCCCCCTATAGCTAAAGCTAAAGCTTGGCTGGACTCAGACACGGCGTCGCCGGATTTTTGAGCTGACGCTCATCGTCGGCTCCGCCGGACTACTCGGCCCTCCATTTCATCGCAGTGTGGGCTTGAAGCTATTGAATGAGGACCTGCTGCAGAAATATATTCCTTAACTTAGGTTTTTTAGAACATATTTGTTGGAAATAGACAATTTTTTTTGGGAGCAAGTGAGTTCCC